AAAAACAAAAAAAAAAAGGCCATTTTCTGCCAGGACATTATGCATTACCCATTAATTTTACTGATATTCTGTTAACCCTAAAACACAACAATTTAAAATCAGAAAAAAAGATACAGGTCAAACGCCTGTAATAGTAATTCAGAACATTGTTCCATATAAATATATATATGCATTTAGAAAGCAGACGAGGGAAATTTATTTCATGCAGACTTGATCATTAAAAGCATGTTCATTATCATCATTTGTGGAAAATTAAAATATATTGAATAAGGTGCACAGTAAAAATCTCTGGTGAGAGCAAAATATAAATGGAGAAGTGAAAATGCTAAAAATATGCACTGTTCTCATAACCAACGCATCCAAAAACTACCGTTTAATCTAACTAAAAGTGTGACTTTACGGGGGGGTGGGATACTTAGTAAGAGGAAGTGATAACCATTATCAAACATGTTTATTAAATCGCGGAATATAATTAGCGGACACTTAAAATCTATAATAAATAAAGTTAAAAAAAAACTATGCATGAATGGAAAAGCGTGAAGGCTTACACATGCAAATTACATTCAGGGCTTCTATCGTTAGCACAATCAAAGCAGTTTACTATAACGAATCCTGTCAGATGCGCATTTTCTGCGCGATGCCGCACACCAGCATCCCTCACTGCGCACTTCAACCGCTTGAATGAGCCAAATCACGCTTTGTTGCGATTAACTGCTCGCGTAAAAACTACATGCACAGAATTGTTTACTCTGCATGCATTTACCGGATTATAATGCATGCACGCTGTAGTTTGTCGCGTCGCGTGCGGTGTGAATAAACTGTTAGCCTAGCATAGCTGGCTAGCTAACAAGAGCCGCAAATAAAAACACCGCAAACTACAGTAAATGCTCAGAAATTAACTCGGTTTTTTACGTCACACATACCTTTTCAGTGAAGACGAGTACTGTACTCTAGACCAAGAACCGTTTAATTGGGAATTCAAGGCAAACTCCAAGCAAAAAATCTATCGAAGTTTCCCTCCTGGAAAAAAGAAAACAGACATTTACCCAAGATAATTAGGACCCCTGAGCACACACGCAGATGCCTGTGTGCAACTTTCAGCAATATCCATATGTCCCGAGTCAAACTGAATGGATTGTTCCCTTTAATTACAAGCGAATGAGTTGCAAGCTATTATCTATAAACACGAGCTGATGATTATCACCTGAACGTCCAATTCAAAGCAATAACAAAACTTGCTTAGCAAAACTAATAACAAATAACGGATAATTGACTAATAAAACAATTCAACTGATTAAAACATAATCATTAATATTATGTGATTAGTGCAATAACAATACGTTTCAACTTCCTTACTGCATGTTTTACAAACTGAGTTAGAGAAACCCACTGATTTAGGACAATAAAACATTTTGGTCAGGCATTTCTTAGACACCTATAGGATCTCTTAGCTCTCAAGCGCGGATGTATTCTTGTTGTAAATATGACTGAGGAGATAAATATTAGAGTCTAATATTTAAAACATAATCTAATTGTTGACAATGTTTTGCTTAATTCAGTATTGTATATTACAGCACTGACACCACAATATAAAACGTCACACATTATCACTGCTTTTTCATTTATATTTATTCAACTTTTTTTTTGTTTAATTCATGCCAAGCCATGATTTATCTGTTTTTTATCCCCCCAAAAAATTATGTATATTATTGTATTATTGTATTGTATATTACAAATGTCAAATCATCAGGCCCTTGAGGACAACACCTACATAACAGGAAATACCCTTAATTGGCCTCACATGGGGCGGAGCATCTGCAAATAGGCTCTTGTTTTAACCACAACCACATCCTTCATATCATATTTTCGTCACAAGCACTCTGACTGTGCATGCTGATCAGTAGATTGGCATGGTGTAAATGTCAAGACTTGTGCAATGTACAACCGGTGTTTGATTGAGAACAACAGAATTGCATATTTTCATTCAAATTTTAGATTTTTGTAAACCGATTCAATGGGAATAATATCAAGGTAAGTTTTAAAATCCCTCTACTTCTTTTATAGGCACTTTCACTCGTCTTTTTGAACTCGACAATATCTTCTTGTTTAATACAAATATGTTGATTATAGACTAAACTATATATGATGATTAAGAGGAAAAATATCTTAATACATCACTGTCAAGGTGTTGTACATTTTATATGTATAAAAAAAGTGTGTGTGTGTGTGTGTGTTATGTTTTTATTTTCTTACATTTGTTAGAATTTAAATGACAACAAATTAATTTATACACATTAATACATAACAGCAGTACAAAAACATTTACTTTCATTTCAGTTTGCATGTGGACTCTGTACAATGCATTTGAGCAGGGCTGACCGCAGATTTTTTCCCTGTTCCTCCATGATGGCTCTATGGCAAGCCATAGCCTTGCTTGTAATTTGTGGACTTATTGAGTGCAGTAAGTGTACATTTATTGCATTGTATCCATCCCTCTACATCAAACTTCTTATAAAACAAGTGCAGACGTAGCATTTAAACACGACACCCTCAAAAGGTGCCATGTAGCTGCAGCAGTAAAAGCGATTTAGCTGGTGTCCTTTGACCTATTCAGGTGTTGCTTTGAGAAGAAATGCTACCGTTTCTGTAGCTCGATTGACCGCATTTCCTCTCACATCACTGTTTGCAGATGACGGCGTGTGCAGCGTGACATGCACCACAGACTTTATCTCCATGCTCAACTGCTCCAATTCTGACTCGGCAGGATCAGCTTCGTGTCACGTTGTGGCAGATTGCAGGTACAGATCTAGCACATAGTGCTTAGGTCCTAAAGTGACTCATTTGGCTGAAACCTTGTCTAGCCTGCTCATTGCTTATTACCATTGAGCAACATGTTGTTTAATTGGCACATTTTCATGTTTTTCAGGGATGAAATTGTGCCTGTGAATGGGAGCTGCACTATCAAAGCACCACAATCCTGGTGCACAATGGAGCCAGAGGATATGGATATGATAATGTCCTTTGATACTAACTGCTCTGTCATAGTAACACAAATGGCCAAACAAGGCAATATGGAGACCCCAACAAAGAGTCACTCTGAAAATATTGTTTTATACAAATCTGGTATGTCCCGATATCTACTTGGTGTAAACGTCATATCCACCTATTTTTTACGTAAGAGCGTGGGTGGGCTTTTGTAACTTGAAGTCTTCCGGTGTCGTTCGCTTCAGATTATTTTTATGCTGCTGTATGTAGCAAACTACTAATTCCTATCAAACTATTTTACCGTATTGTCATTATAAATGCACTGCAGGGAGTGTTACAGTTTACTACACTTTGCTATTCTTATAGTGGTTAATGAATCATAAGTCTTGTATGTTCACAAAAAATAGCTCACTTCTGCTTTGCATAATAAGGTGGATACAGTGAGATCCGAATGTTCAAGAACACCAATGCTTAAAAAAGATTTTATCGTTTTAATATAATGATTGTCAAAATCTCATAGTATTTTGTTTATCCTCTTTTGCTCAGTTAGTGCCAAACCTGATGATCATGTTCTCCAGCATGATCTGGTCCGAAGAGCATCTTGAGCTTTAATGAACAACCTTTTTAAAATCCTAAAACATTCTGGTTGAAATGAGATCTTGGTACACGATTTTTAATGCGATTTCAGGCTTTTTGGACCCCACTGTATTTCAGTAGTCTTGGTTACTTGTGTACAGTGCACTAACATTGGTTTTCTTTTCGTTTCATAGTTAAACCAAAACAACCTTTCAACCTAACCATTACAAAAATTGATGGGGATTTTAACCTCACTTGGGATGTGGCTTATACAGAACACTTTCTGTATAAAAAATTATACTACAGAGTACGATTGCAAACTACAAGTGACCCAGATAAGGTAAAACTAATTTCTCTCTCTCTCTCTCTCTCTCTCTCTCTCTCTCTCTCTCTCTCTCTCTCTCTCTCTCTCTCTCTCTCTCTCTCTCTCTCTCTCTCTCTCTCTCTCTCTCTCTCTCTCTCTCTCTCTCTCTCTCTCTCTCTCTCTCTCTCTCTCTCTCTCTCTCTCTATTATTATTATTATTATTATATATATATGTTTGTTTTTTTTCTGAATACCATGTGATGCTTCCTCAGATGGCACAAATTTACACCCTGCAGCAGAACCAACGATCAATGGTTATCCTCAGTGAAAAACTCCTGCCAGGAAGGCAGTATGTGGCAGAAGTTCAGGTTGCAGTGCATCCTTCAACCTTTACATCCATGTGGAGTGAATGGAGTAACAGTGTTGAATGGACATCTGACTCTCCACAGTCAGAACAGTACTATTTCCTGCTGTTGGCACTTCCTGTTGTGATGGTGGTGCTGCTTGTGTACAGTGGGAAATTGTGAGTATCAATCTTACTTTTATTTGTCCAATATTTCACTCTGTTTCAGTTCAGATATGCATTAGTCTGAAATAAATGACCTTTCTCAGTGCAAACTGTTTACTTGACAAAGACAAAATTGAAATCAAGAAGTTTGGCTCCTTATAAAGGCCATGAGGCACATTTAGGGAATTGTACAAATTGTAGAGAAGTCACTTTTTGGATTATGGAGAAGTGAAGCAAACTCAAACCTCTTTTGTTATGACTGTTAGTCAATTTATGAGTCACTTTATTATCTGTAAGTCATATGCCTGTGAAGCCTGTATTAACCTTTAAAACTATCTAGATCAGTTCACTCATTCCTAAAAATCTGAAAGATAATGTACTGAGAAGTTTGCCTAATATCCTACAAAGTGGCGGGCTGAATAAAAGACTATAGACGAGTATGATCTTAAATTTCGATAGCGCCTCCTCTAAATGAGATTTCCAGTAATCGATATGACGGCGCTTACCGTATGTGAATAGTCCTTTCTCACCTCCCACGTTCACGAAAACCACAACAGCAGCAGATATGTTTTTGCAGACAGTCTATTTTCATGTAGGTCAAAAACTGGAGGAAGTCAGATGCACAAGCTCTGCAAGTGCATAAAGCTCGACATTTCTCATGACAGCCACTGTTTCCATTTCTCTTTCAGCACATAATCAGCATGTGTTTGTAGCAGAATTTGGATTTGCCTCATTTTTGAAGTGTGCATAACTGATTCTGCTACTTTCACATTTTAATGTTGTATGAAGCTGCTTCGAAACCGTATCTATTGTATAAAGCGCTCTGAAAAATAAAGCTGACTTTACTTTGTGTCCTACAATAGCAGCCTGTTAATGCATCCACCAAACTACACTTCAGTCCTATAACACTTTCTCTTTGCATCTACAGAGGGGGCATCAAAAAGCTGTCCTTATGGCAACACATCCCAAGCCCTCATGAGTACTTCACACCACTCTACCATACATATCAAGGAGACTTTAAGGTATGCTTTCTTTTGACTTTGTGTATAAATCTCTGGTGCACAAGCAGAAGTCTCTGTGTGCGTGTGTGAGCACGATAACATGTCTTGTCAGGGGACTTTCAGAAGAGCGACATGCTTAACCTCACTTGCAACAGGGGAATGTGACATTTTTCAAATGAGTCAGTCTGTAGGGGCTTCAAAGGAACAGGAGGGCTCACTTAACATTTGGTTGAGATTGCGTTAAACGTGAAAACTGAAAGTAGCAGTTTTCCCCTCTAATGGAAAGTACTATGAGTTCAAACCCAAACTCTGATAAGGTGGGTAGTTATAAATGGTTGTTTTTAACTAAAGGGGAATTTAGTAAATATTCCGCTGGGTAGGATAGTGTGAGTTGAAAATACTACCCTTTATCTCAGGCTTGGCACAACAAAAATAAAAAGGTTTGAGAGCTAATTCTTGAGTTATTTTTGTCCCTCAGAGGACTTTAAGATATTAATAGTAACCGCATTTCTGAGGATTTCTATAAAACCTAAGAAATGTTATGAAATGTGGCAGTGTCGTGAACTTGCAAGACTTGTGACACCAGCTTTGTTTCTGTAAACTGTTACAGAGGAACTGTGGCAGTTGTATGATTTTGAAAAAATTTTTTTTTGGTTTAAATTTTTTTTCACATGCAAGTGAACACGTATTCCAGTAGGGGTCCGTAACACGCTGCATTAACAACAGCGACAGCTGTGTGACATCAAATGGAAAGTTTAAAACCTTAAACCTCATCTTAACTTTTTTTTTTATATATATAATAATAATTCCAAAAGGATGTACTTAAAATAGAATAATTTTACATACTGTGTCAAAACCGTAGAGGTGTTAGTGGGATAAGTGTTTTGATCTGCTCCATGTTTGCTGTAAATTGTTCCATGACACCGCTGTAGTTTTCCAACCCCTCTTATTCTAAAATAGATTTCTGAGAATATGCTACAAAATTAATGATTGAAATAATTGAACATTTGCTTTTTACCTTATGTTATTTATATTTTGTGTAGTTGTACTGTTTAGTGTAGAAAATTAGTTTTCATTCTGTGTGGACCAAACACTCGACAAATGTTGCTTTGTGATTCTTGACTTCATGTGTTGAGGAGCATTTACTAGCCATTCATACGGATGTAAAAGCATTTAATTAATGATTTTTTTTTTTTTATTATATTAACACATTTTTAAGTCCGGAAATGATGGTTAAGTTGATTACGGATGTCATTTGCGTTATCTGCAAGTAGGCGTCGTTTGTGAAGAAGTGGTTTGATTTTAATCAGACAGTGTTTTAGGAAGTTCATTTGGTTTAGAATTTCATACAGCTTTAAGATATATAGTTTATATATGTAAAGTCTTAAATTAATGTTTTTAGTCAGCAGGGATGCATTAGATTGATCAAAAGTGACATTATTGGCATTTATAATTTTATAGAAGGTTTGTGTCAAATAAATGTTTTTGAATTTATTATTATTATTATTATTATTCATCATCATCATCAAAGAGTCGATCAAGGTTTACCACAAAAATATTAAGCAGCACAAATAATTTCAATATCAGTAGCCTAATAGTAGTACTACTACTACTACTAAGAAGGAGAAATGTTTCTCAAGCAGCAAATCATCATATTAGAATGATTTCTGAAGGATCATGTGACACTGAAGAGTGGAGTAATGATGCTGAAAATTCAGCTTTGAAATCACGGGAACAAATGACATTTTATAATATGTTCAAATAGAAAACAGTTCTTGTAAATTGTAATAATATCTTGCAATATTACAGTTTTTACTGTACAAACTGTATAAATGCAGCCTTGGTGAGCATAAGAGACTTCTTTCAAAAACATTAAAAAGTCTTGCTGATTCCAAACTTTTGAATGAGAGTGTATATATTTCACATCACCAGTAAACTTCTAGATGAAAATGTTTTTAAGAATTAAAATTTGTTTATATTTTTGAGAGGGGCATACAGAAATGTATTTTTATGACAAAATGAAAAAGGATCTTCTTGTGTTTAATTTCAGAGATGGGTCGGACCAGTCCTGACCTTCAACAGCTTTGATGTCCTTGAGAAGAGCACCACTCTGCAGGTGCTTTGTGAGAAGCAGCAGAATGAAAGCTCAGAGGAACCTGCTAACAGGACTGGCGAGCGGGACTTTGGTCCGGCGGGTCAAAACTCATCTAAACTCTACTTCCTTGGCAGCAACAGTCAAGGCCTCGCACACTCCGGCGGCCACATATCGATGGACACCGTTACAGTATCCGGTCAGGAGGGCGTCATGGCCGACTGGTCCGGTGACAGCCACAGACGCAGCCTAGAGGACTTCCTCAACGGCAAAGACGCCAGTCAGAGAGCGGCCGAGATGGATGCCAGGCAGCCTCTTGTACCAGACGGCAGGAGGAGTTTACAGGGTTCAGACTGTGATGACTGGCATCTACAGGAGCACGACCTGGAGAACATCGAGCAGGTCTCGCTGGACTCTTACAGTTCTAATGAGCAGTCCGATGACGGCTACCCACAAATGGGTTTGGATTTGGACACCATAGACAGTGGCTTTCTGGAGTCAGACTGTTCCAGCCCCTCTGCGTTTGATGGGAACGAGCAGATCGAAACTTCATCGCTGGATGGCGTGGGACGCTCCCATTCAAATTATGTCAAACAGTGGGTGGCTTTTACATCAGTTCAAGTTGATGCCCACCACAGCAATGGAAAGTAGCTGTTCATGGGAGTTTCTATTGCTACAACAAACTAAATCACAGCTGAATAATAGACAATAGAAAGTGAAAGCATCTACAAATTGTTTGAAGACTTCACTGGTTGGACCTAACTTGCTCACAATGTGTTTGTGAGCTGTTTTTTATTACACTGAACTGTATTTGTGGCATAAATGGACTCCTTAGACATCAGCTGTGTGATCACAGGACATTGGTCTACATTAAAACTGCAGGACAGTATGTGTGGCTGCATCTCAATTTGCATACTATCATTCCTTTAGGTCTATAGACTTTAGTCAAGGTAGCGCCGTATTTAATATGACAGGATTGGAAAAGAGGCTGTGAGAGAATGAAGTACAGTGCGTTCAAAGGATTGTAGTGCTTTGACAATATACCAATTGTTCAGCTGACGAAAAAAAATTTAGTTGACAAATTTTATAAAACAGCTGTGAATTGTGAAAAAGACCTGACCTATGACCTTTATACAGTGTGTGACGTTGTAAAGTCTGTAAGCCTGTCCTTTACAGCCTTGTTTTAATCCATGTTAAATTCAATATGGTGTCTAACCTGATTAAGTTCTGTAGTCAGAGGTTGTGCTACTAATAATAATTATTTGTCACTCTAATGGACTGGGTTGTACTTTTTCTGTCATACTCTATTTTTATATTTCAGTAAAATATTGTAACACTATCTTAATGTGACTTTTTCACAAGAACTTCAGAATCCCATGAATTGCTCTCTTCAAATCCTACTTTTGAAATCCTACTACATTTTAAAACGCAAGTTCATTTTTGACAAAGTAAAAGGAAGAAAAAAAACCCAAAAACTCTTGCAAGACTTGTGGCACCAGCTTTGTTTCTGTAAACTGTTACAGAGGAACTGTGGCAGTTGTATGATTTTTAAAAAATTTTTTTTTGGTTTAAATTTTTTTTCACATGCAAGTGAACACGTATTCCAGTAGGGGTCCGTAACACGCTGCATTAACAACAGCGACAGCTGTGTGACATCAAATGGAAAGTTTAAAACCTTAAACCTCATCTTAACTTTTTTTTTTATATATATAATAATAATTCCAAAAGGATGTACTTAAAATAGAATAATTTTACATACTGTGTCAAAACCGTAGAGGTGTTAGTGGGATAAGTGTTTTGATCTGCTCCATGTTTGCTGTAAATTGTTCCATGACACCGCTGTAGTTTTCCAACCCCTCTTATTCTAAAATAGATTTCTGAGAATATGCTACAAAATTAATGATTGAAATAATTGAACATTTGCTTTTTACCTTATGTTATTTATATTTTGTGTAGTTGTACTGTTTAGTGTAGAAAATTAGTTTTCATTCTGTGTGGACCAAACACTCGACAAATGTTGCTTTGTGATTCTTGACTTCATGTGTTGAGGAGCATTTACTAGCCATTCATACGGATGTAAAAGCATTTAATTAATGATTTTTTTTTTTTTATTATATTAACACATTTTTAAGTCCGGAAATGATGGTTAAGTTGATTACGGATGTCATTTGCGTTATCTGCAAGTAGGCGTCGTTTGTGAAGAAGTGGTTTGATTTTAATCAGACAGTGTTTTAGGAAGTTCATTTGGTTTAGAATTTCATACAGCTTTAAGATATATAGTTTATATATGTAAAGTCTTAAATTAATGTTTTTAGTCAGCAGGGATGCATTAGATTGATCAAAAGTGACATTATTGGCATTTATAATTTTATAGAAGGTTTGTGTCAAATAAATGTTTTTGAATTTATTATTATTATTATTATTATTCATCATCATCATCAAAGAGTCGATCAAGGTTTACCACAAAAATATTAAGCAGCACAAATAATTTCAATATCAGTAGCCTAATAGTAGTACTACTACTACTACTAAGAAGGAGAAATGTTTCTCAAGCAGCAAATCATCATATTAGAATGATTTCTGAAGGATCATGTGACACTGAAGAGTGGAGTAATGATGCTGAAAATTCAGCTTTGAAATCACGGGAACAAATGACATTTTATAATATGTTCAAATAGAAAACAGTTCTTGTAAATTGTAATAATATCTTGCAATATTACAGTTTTTACTGTACAAACTGTATAAATGCAGCCTTGGTGAGCATAAGAGACTTCTTTCAAAAACATTAAAAAGTCTTGCTGATTCCAAACTTTTGAATGAGAGTGTATATATTTCACATCACCAGTAAACTTCTAGATGAAAATGTTTTTAAGAATTAAAATTTGTTTATATTTTTGAGAGGGGCATACAGAAATGTATTTTTATGACAAAATGAAAAAGGATCTTCTTGTGTTTAATTTCAGAGATGGGTCGGACCAGTCCTGACCTTCAACAGCTTTGATGTCCTTGAGAAGAGCACCACTCTGCAGGTGCTTTGTGAGAAGCAGCAGAATGAAAGCTCAGAGGAACCTGCTAACAGGACTGGCGAGCGGGACTTTGGTCCGGCGGGTCAAAACTCATCTAAACTCTACTTCCTTGGCAGCAACAGTCAAGGCCTCGCACACTCCGGCGGCCACATATCGATGGACACCGTTACAGTATCCGGTCAGGAGGGCGTCATGGCCGACTGGTCCGGTGACAGCCACAGACGCAGCCTAGAGGACTTCCTCAACGGCAAAGACGCCAGTCAGAGAGCGGCCGAGATGGATGCCAGGCAGCCTCTTGTACCAGACGGCAGGAGGAGTTTACAGGGTTCAGACTTTGATGACTGGCATCTACAGGAGCACGACCTGGAGAACATCGAGCAGGTCTCGCTGGACTCTTACAGTTCTAATGAGCAGTCCGATGACGGCTACCCACAAATGGGTTTGGATTTGGACACCATAGACAGTGGCTTTCTGGAGTCAGACTGTTCCAGCCCCTCTGCGTTTGATGGGAACGAGCAGATCGAAACTTCATCGCTGGATGGCGTGGGACGCTCCCATTCAAATTATGTCAAACAGTGGGTGGCTTTTACATCAGTTCAAGTTGATGCCCACCACAGCAATGGAAAGTAGCTGTTCATGGGAGTTTCTATTGCTACAACAAACTAAATCACAGCTGAATAATAGACAATAGAAAGTGAAAGCATCTACAAATTGTTTGAAGACTTCACTGGTTGGACCTAACTTGCTCACAATGTGTTTGTGAGCTGTTTTTTATTACACTGAACTGTATTTGTGGCATAAATGGACTCCTTAGACATCAGCTGTGTGATCACAGGACATTGGTCTACATTAAAACTGCAGGACAGTATGTGTGGCTGCATCTCAATTTGCATACTATCATTCCTTTAGGTCTATAGACTTTAGTCAAGGTAGCGCCATATTTAATATGACAGGATTGGAAAAGAGGCTGTGAGAGAATGAAGTACAGTGCGTTCAAAGGATTGTAGTGCTTTGACAATATACCAATTGTTCAGCTGACGAAAAAAAATTTAGTTGACAAATTTTATAAAACAGCTGTGAATTGTGAAAAAGACCTGACCTATGACCTTTATACAGTGTGTGACGTTGTAAAGTCTGTAAGCCTGTCCTTTACAGCCTTGTTTTAATCCATGTTAAATTCAATATGGTGTCTAACCTGATTAAGTTCTGTAGTCAGAGGTTGTGCTACTAATAATAATTATTTGTCACTCTAATGGACTGGGTTGTACTTTTTCTGTCATACTCTATTTTTATATTTCAGTAAAATATTGTAACACTATCTTAATGTGACTTTTTCACAAGAACTTCAGAATCCCATGAATTGCTCTCTTCAAATCCTACTTTTGAAATCCTACTACATTTTAAAACGCAAGTTCATTTTTGACAAAGTAAAAGGAAGAAAAAAAACCCAAAAACTATGTAGTAATGGTGAGAAAGTTTAAGATAAAAAATATATAGGCCCTAATTACATTTGCAGATGTATTACAACTGAGATAAGAGGTCACAAGAAATAAAGTCACAATTACAAGAAATAACATCTCCGATTTAAAACCAATGCATAAAAAGATAATTGTGACTTTATAGCTTAAAATCGCAACCAATTAAGTCGTAGTTGATTTCTAAATAATTAATTTTTACTCTGAGGCAGGATTCCTTAATTAGTGTCCTTTAAGGCCCGTTCACACCAAAAATGATAACTGCAAAGTTCTAAAAATCATTCTAAATTTAAGCGAATTCACACCACAACTATAACAATATAGAGGTACGATTCCACTTTCAGGATGATATTTTCCATCTGATGAACAATAATAGTTGACAGAACTACAGCATGCTTCTATAATAAGCAGAACTTTATTGTGCGTTGGTGTGGATGCTAATATAGTTAGCATTCTTGGTGTGAATGATGGAAAGCATTTTGAATTATTATGCATTTACAATTTTGCCAAATTAACCACACAACCTCTGCATTTAGTATGCAAGGGTAGAATTAGTGCATGCCAAATCATAGTCCATTGAAAAAGACATGCCAAAAGTGCAGGGGTTTTTACTATGTCAGGTGACCTGTTCAAAAAAAGATTAATCTGTGCATATTTTTTGATAAGTTAAAGTTCAAGATTCGGTCACTGAAAACCCATACTGATCAACTAATATTCAGAGTATTTACAGATTGTGTAAACATATTTGGAACCTAAGATAAGTAACATATTTAGCTACATGCTAACACAAACAATACATGACTGGGGTCTGTGGTGATTTTATGATGTGGTGTTATGTCTCAATACTGGCATACCATCTTACTGCATACTCAGCTGCAGCTCTGTACTTTCCCAGCAGCAGTTGAAGTACCGGTACATTTATTCAGCATGTGTAACATATTTAGCTACACGCTAACACAAACAATACATGACTGGGGTCTGTGGTGATTTTATGATGTGGTGTTATGTCTAAATACTGGCATACCATCTTACTGCATACTCAGCTGCAGCTCTGTACTTTCCCAGCAGCAGTTGAAGTACCGGTACATTTATTCAGCATGTAGCAAAAGTATGGGATGTGAGGTGCGACCAGTGTTTAGGTACTGATTATCTAATGAGGTAAGACTGAGAATTATGCATTTCGTGACGACTTTTTTGAGCTTGCAGTTCTTCTGTCATTGCACACAATGTTGCAGTTATCAGAGTTTGCTCTGAGCAAGATAAGGCATGTTTCAGACAGATCTACAAAATGCCAGCCACCTGATAATACTACGGGTATTTCTACATATCAGATCATTTTTACAAATCATTAGCGCAGCAGAGAGAATATAGCCTACCATTTTTTGTTTTTTTATTTTGTTTTGGGGATTTTTTTTGTCAAGTGCTTTTTAACGTTTTCATTTTTCCATTAATGCTCAGATTTTCATGAAATTATTCATGCACTTTATTTTAATGATATGATTATTTATTACTAAGGAAGTAGACACTTTGATGGTTGGAGGTGATTACAGATTTTATTTGCAGCTAGAGGGTTTGGAGGGTTTGAAAGCAAACTTACATTTACTTTTTAAGGCCCGTTCACACCAAGAACGATAATGATATTAGCGTCCATACCAGTCAGTGAACGATATCGTCTGTTTATTCTAAGCGCACGCTTGTCTGCCGCTTTAAATTCTCGAGCTTGTTACAGCAGGATGGATTCTGATTGGCTGTCAATGTTTTTATCGTTGATCAGCTGGGAAAAAAATAGTTCTGAAAGTGATTCCAACGATATACTTTATCGTTACAGCTGTGGACTCTGCTATTATTTAACATTGATTAACGATTTTTAGAACTAGGATATATTTATCGTTATTTTTATAGTTATCG